ACCGCATGCGCGTACACATAGGCTTGAGGAGCGGCCGTACAACTTCGCGTACTGATTGAGGACAAGAGCACGCAGCCAATAGCAGCTCAATGACCCTCACTTGTTTTACCGAAAGCCGCCATGTTGTATGACTGAGTTTCCTTCCTGTGACACTTCTTATCTACTGAATAAACGTGCTCCGTGCTAAACGTCTGTTTCCTTCATAGCTGGGCTATAGCTTAGCTGGTTCTGGGAGTCTAGCTAGATGTTGGAGAATTTGCCATAGAGATTTCTGAGTCAGTCAGGCTTTACTAAGGTAGCAATCCGCTACAATTGAATTGGGCAAATTCAATCAAACTGAATTGCAACTACGAGAAAGTACTTACGAAAAATACTACTAATGGTAATTCAGATTTAATAAAACAACATAAAAGTAAAAAACATTTTACTGAAATACACAAATAATTTCTGAATAACCCTACCATAGACTCGTACATTCCGGAATCAAGTGTTTTGGTTGACCTTTCAGGTCCTTAAAAGGTTATGGAAGAAATCCAAGGTAAATAATGTCACTAAGTGACTTTGGGTAAAATAATGAATGCTATGTAGCCAATGGGAAATGCGATTTCAGTAAAAGTCACATAATTCAACATAAAGGAGTTTTCCATCTACTGGGAGGGCTTCCAATTCGAAGGTGCTGTCAGGAATTTTCATTCCCTCTGACAGTGAAAAGAACGGCCTTCGTTTCTTCAATAATTGAATCCAACTCTTGAACGAACTCGGCTAAATTTTTGTTTGAGGCTTTCATCTCCTCTACACGACGCTCAATTTCAATAAACCTTCGTTTCTTCTCTCGTCTAGATTTTCTAGATGCCTCGTTATTTCGTAGACGTCGTAGCTCCTTTTCCATATCAAGGTTTCTGATGGTGGATTTTTTCGAGATGGTACCTCGATTAGTTTCAGGCATCGGCGGAGAAAAGGGAGAAGTTTCTTTGTGTTTGCTTGGTGATTGATTGCGCTTATGCTAAAAATAACAAGAAATAGAATCGCAAAACTATTAATGGAGCACAACAGATGATTTCTTAGATGTCACTTCGTGTATAAGGTACAAATCATGACAATTTCGAGAACTCAGATCTATTCAGAAGTAAAGACAGCTTTCAGTTGGAACGTAACAGGGAGAAGTTGCGCATCATTTTTACTTTTGAGGACACCACCTAAGAAGCATCAGATGACGAGATAGCCTCTCATTTCTAAAGTTTTGCTTTAATTAATGCTTAAAGTATAGTATTTGGCTTTAGAACATTTTTTAAAAATACCTGTTTGAATTTCATATCATTTTGAAGAGTTTCCTCACTGCGAATCATGCGTTGACTTGACTGACCGAAGTCGAAATTGTTCGTACTGGTGTCATTATGAAACGCTGAATTTCCCAGATTAGTCATTGGAATGCCACTCATTGTGTAGTCAAAATACAAAACCGGTCGATTTTCATAATAAAATCCTGCTATTGGATCCGTTGCGGTACTTTCCAACGGCTCAAAATTCATCTGATATGGTGGCATTTCGTAGGACCGTCCAGAGTCTGAAGATGTCCAAAATCCACAATTTGAGTCTATATAACTCATTGATAATTAATTTGTATTAATGCGGGTAAAAATGAAATAATAGTAAATAATGAATAATTAAATAGCCTTTTTGGTTAAATCAACTCTGAGACAAAATTGATTGTTAAACCCAATGATTATCTTTTAAACGAAATAACTATCATATTTGAAATAAGTGAACTAATAGTGCGATACTGCGAATTATTTTAACCAATTTTAACGCAATTAACATTTTTTAATTGATGTTGAGATGAAAATAAGGAGATAATAGGGATTAATCTTATGATGAATATTACAAACACCCGAATGAAGATCAATTCTGAAAATAAAATATTTAACACTATTGCATTAATATTAACATATTGATACGATAATTTGTAACATTAGGCTAATATTAAGTTGTTAATCAGTGATGTGGCGAAAATTGAATGAAACATTAAAGATATACAGACATCTAAAAAGGCCGATGTAATTATAAACAACAACTATAAACAATTTTATAAATTCAAATAGGGAGATAATTAGTCAATATAATAACAATAACACGCCAAAAACTCAATTTATTATAATATTTAGTTTTTTAAAGAATATTTGCAGGATTTCTACGTTAAAATATAGATGTCGAGTTAATGGAATTTAAATTAGTACCTCATTATGGTTATTCAAGGTTTGTTGCTTAAGTGACTTGTTAACTAGAAGCTAGTCAGTAATCAATCGAAAATAGCGATATCTTAACTAAGGTTAATAGTCGTCTGCAATGTTAATAACATAGTACAATATCTACTAAATAAACGCTTATTTCTAATTGAAAGTAATTTACTTTTGAACAACAATATAGTGGTAACCTAAATTTCATAAAAATTGACAAGCTAATTACAGGTATCCGTTGTCATTGCTTCTACTATTCTCGACTAGGAGTGGAGCACGTAGCTTCAATTCACATCAAAGCTTGCTATGGTTGCCTTCAATCAACTTTACAGGCGTAAATAAGTTAATTAACTCTCTAACTAAAAGATGACTGAGGCTCCATTGAATTCCTTTGGGGCTACAACTTTTCCGTTTTGCGTTAAAATTTTTATCCATCCCAGAGGCACAAAAACAGCGGATGATATCAAGCAACTTAATTGTGGATAAAACATGCCTTATCTGCACATAAGAGAAAAGAAATAAGCCGCAAACCATTTATTAGTTTCTCAGGTAGATAAAATTATACTACTACGAGTCTTCATGGACTTTCAACAATAGGGATTTTACTGCAGTCCGCGTCACGTTCTACTATTAGCTGAAATAAAATAAAATATCTATTTTGTATATTGACACTCCTGAAAAAAAGGCATATACATTCAAAATGGTGTTAATATGAAAACTTCTGTACAGATTTGAGAGAATAAAATGAAGCAGATTGACAGTGGCACAGTATTTAAATGAATCTTTTTTTTCTGCCGTGCATTTATCTTAAGTGTGCTTCATCACGTGATCGCAGAAAGACAGCCCGCACCTATTGCGAAATTATTTGATCTCAGAAAAATAAATCCGAATAATTAATCAGTATTTGATGATATAATTCCATCAGTTACCAACAATTTACAGATGATAATTGCTTATTAATGGTGAAATTTCAACCGATGAATCGTACTTTCTTGACGTAATCGATAGCAGAGATTAAGAGGAGGTTAGGGAGGTGGATTGAATGAACTCACCATACGGGGGATCAGCTGAGTACAAGGTGTTGTAAAAGCTATACGGAGAGGACATTTGGTTAGGATTGAATCCTTGTCGTTGCATTATACAGTGACTGCGTGAGCGTAGAGTGTAGATTAATTGAGGTTCTACTCATTCTCAACCTTTTATAGCTCCCACAAACACACCATGACGAGAAAAGGTGTTATATCTGCGTCGCTATTTTTACAGAATCGCAGTCTTTAATTGGTTTAAATTTTGGTCTTTTGATATCTATACAGGTGTTACAGATAATTTGCTGATATATAACATGAAAAATTAAGTTAAATGATGAATATGTAATTATATATGCAAATAACGAATTAATGGCTAGATCAATTTTGTTATCATCTCTTCTCGACAAAGATTATGGTCTAAACCTAGCAGTTTGTCGGTAGTCAGTGATGAGATTCCTCATAGTAATAAAATAGTTTTGATTATGAACTATGAATTACAAAAAAGCTTTTATCGATTAGTCACACAGAATGAATGAGCCAGAATGGTACGTATTCCCAGTGGAGACACATGGAGACAGTTATAAAACCACAAGTTGATGCACGAAAACCACTCAACATAAAAATGAGATAATATATTACATAATGCACCTTTGAAATTGTTAAGCTATCTGTCAATTGTGTATATGAATCACCTGAATATAACAGAAAATATAAAATCGGATCATTCAGTATTGATAACAATTGCTAAACTTCTTGTAGATATTATACGAGTAAAGGATAAAATGATGAATTTTATGCTAATTGGCATTTTTCTAATTTCCTTTAAAGGTTAAACATTGGCCTTGAAGATGTCTCAGTGAATATTATTTAGTTCAGGTAACTATAACCAAAAATATTAATTAGTGATAGTAATAGTGATTATTGATTTACTTATTAATACCGAACGTCCAGAGTCTACTTTTAAACTTGCTATCGCCTTAACATTCTTAATTAATAGAAAGTCATTTAATTCATAAATCTTTATGCTAATACCCTCAGCGGATTGCTAATTCTCGGTGACCTGTGTAGTCTGCCGTAGGGCTTAGTCATTATAATACAATGAAGGGTTTGTTAGATACTGCTTGCAATATTGACTGGTGGTTGACTCAGGGTAATAAACACGCTTGTTCCCCATGTGACAAATTGTATGGGGTTTCTTTATTTAGCCACGATAGCGTTGTGGACCCCTCAGGCAGAAATTTCCAGGAGATATGAAGTACACCTTGTAGAGATCGTTTGGGTAAGTGAGTTTCATGCTAACTTTTAGCACGTTTCTCATAGTACTCCAATTGGAATACTGAATTTTGTATAGGGAAGATTCTTAACTAGAACTTGTAAATGTAACTGACCTCTATCAAAACGAGCTAACTTCATTTGAAACTTTAGTAAAAACCTTTACTTTCTTTAAGTAAGCATAATTTGTTTTTTTCTGGACTTAAATTCGGTTAAATCTAAATGTAACAGCAATTCCAGCTTTTATTTTTCTGCTTTGAAAGGTCTTATTAGTTTCACCAATACAAGTAAAGTCATTTACACTGTGCAATAGGCATAGGCTGTAAGGTATTTCATTGAAACCACTGGTAAACAATGAATTTTCATTGCACAATATTATACCTAATACTGGCCTTAAAAATGTCACAACTTCATGTCATTAGAAGCCAATGTGAGAACAGAAGTAAGAATTTGTCGCAACTCTAAATGAAATCTGCAGGCAGTGATGTAATAGAAATTGGTTATGAAGATGGTACGCCTCTCGTGTAAGACATTCAGTAAATTGCACAGCAAGAAGCAACTGCACATACACACACCATTGTGTTGACTACCTAAGATGGAATATAAATGCTGCAAGGAGAAATGTTGCTTCACAGTGTCCAATTGAAACACCCGGA